CCACTCAATTGCGGGGCTACCGGCTGCTGTTCCGGTTGAGCCTGCGGTATTGCCGCAGAGGCTTGGGGTTGTGGTGGGTGGATGATCTGGGCCATGTATTGCCGGCCGTCTGGTCCAATGGGTGCCACGGTGGCTCCCTGAAGGGGGATAGAGTTCGCGACGAGCGCGTCAGCTACCACCGACATATCCATGCCTCCTTCCGCGTTCAGTACGTTCGACAGTGCGGTGAAGGGTGCGGTGGGCTCGTCCGGGAACCTTTTGGGTTCCACTGCGAGCCTACCAGGCGGGACCGTTGGGGGTGGGATATTCTCCCGGTTCATCCGCTCCTCATGCTCGCGCTGTCTGCGGGCGATCTCCCGGTCAGCTGCCGCTATTTCCCGTCGCTCTTCTTCGCGCTCAGTTTCTCGGCGTGCTTCAGGAGCTTCGACCAGCCGAGGGTTCTCCGGGACCGGTGGGGTATTGCGCCACCCAGGTTCCCGTCGGACCCGGCGGTGACGCTGCATGTCCCACAGGTGGAGTATTTCCTGTGAACGCAGCTGGTCCAGGAGTCGGCTAGAGCTGACCAAGTGAAGGTACGCGCTTAGGTTTCCAGTCACGACTTGAAGGTATAAGGCCACAGCCTGTTCTCGTCGGTCGGCCCTGTTATCCGGGGATTGCTTGTCCAGGTTCCGCAGCAAGCAGTCCGCACATGGTAAGCGGGTCCGTGGTGAGTCGTTATTGGCTCGGCACGTCTGGCATCCCGGATTATAGGCTTCCGGCCGAGGCTGTGGCCGGGGCTGTAGTCAAACTTAAATTTTATTAAGTTATTTTAAGCCTTTTGGGCCTTACGTAAACCTATTGGGTTCTACGTTTTACGGTTAAACGAGTACAACGGTCGGGTACGGTCGGTTCTCTCCCGTCCAAAGTTGTTCTTTCGAGCCTATTGGGCTCAAAAACGTTCCGTTGTAGAGGCTATCAACTCTCGCCTATTGGGCAAGGAGCCTCGAATGACTTCACTTTTAGGTTGCTTTCCGGGTTCCATCCGGCAAATCGGCCGGGTTAATGGATTTCGCCCGTGCTAACCGTTTCTTGGACTCTTCTGCCCGGGCAGCCGGGGTAAGAGCCTTACTTGGGCTCTCCGAGCTTGACCGGGTCTTAGGCAAGTGTTGGCCAAAGTCCGAAGGTAGGTGGAAGACGGAGAAGCGCTGCGTAGGTGTCTTGTAGGCTTCACTCATTCCGAGGGCTTTCTGCTTGCAGGCCTGTACCAGGACATACTCCAATTCGTCCGCAAGGTGGTACAGGTTGCTCTCCTTCCTTCGGATCGGTCGATACCGATCATCCTCCAATTGGGGTTGAGCGGACATCAGGATGAACTCGAACCGACCAATTAGGTGGCTCAAGATCTCTCGGCGGGTTAGTCCGTCCGGGTGTCGATCCGTCCGCAGGCAGGCGATGACCGCATCGCGCCATCCAAGGTAAGTCCGGGGTGCAGGGTCTTGCTCCTCCCTCGGGAAGACGTAGTACGGCCTCCCGGTATGAGTGTAGACTCGCAGGATGGCTCCGGTCTCGTAAGCCAGCCGACAATATTCCGTGACCCTGTCGAGGTCGAGATCGAACCAGCTTCCGTCCTTGTCGACGCGCCAGTGCTTCAGCAGCTGGTAAGCCAAGTCCGGGGTTGCGTACAGTGGGCCGGACCAAGACAGCGCCTTGAGTGCAGCGTGTACGTGCACCCAGCCTTCATCAGTGTCGGAGATCCTGGGCTTAAACTTCGGTTTAGCCGCGCGCATCGTCGCCGGCTGCTTTGGCCGCGGTGGAACCCGTATTATGGGTCTCGACGGGATCTCCCGCGGTAACACCTGCGCTGTGTCTTCATGCCACACCATGAGAAGTTGGTCTCTCGGTGGGCTAGGTGTCCGTTCCCATAGGCCTTGCTGATGAGTTGGACCCGAGGCTCGCTGGTGGGAAGAAGGGGCATCCTGGCCGACGTCTTCACCATCCATCGGGTCATCTTGATTTTCCGCCGGAGGGTCCTCGGGTTGGTCCGGGTCCTCCGGGTTGGGATCCTGGGGTGCCGCTGTTGGCGGCTTCCCCTGATCTTCGTCATCATCATCATCTTCGTCGTCTGATTTGCCGGATTTGTCGGAGTCTTGTTCCGACTCGGCATCCTCAGGATCTTCTTCCTCTTCCGGGGAAGGGTCTTCTTCCTCCTCCAAGGAATGCGCATTCCGGGATGTCCGACCCTTGTCCTTGGACTTCTTAGGTGCAGACTGGCCCCTTTTTGAGGTTCCTAGCTGCGAAGTCGACAAATCCATCGGGGAAGTTGGCTGCGACGCTGGGGGGGCTGACTGTGTCCTTGATGAACTTGCCCCTGTTGTCCCGCACCGCATGCTTGAATACTTTGTTGGCTAACTCCCGGGTCGAGGGTTCCATCATTTCATAGACCCTCGAATCCCCGGGTGCCCTGGGTCGGTCATGGGGGAATCTGCTGCCCGCCGAGGCCGCTGTTGATCTGGCGAGTTCAAGCCAGACATTTGCCTGGGCCGGCCGTGATCCTGGTGCCTTAGGTTGAGGGTCGACTCCGGCCGCGTCCCTGTTCTTGTTGTGGACGTACGAGATCCGGAGCTTCAATTCCTTTCGTTTCGACAGGGGATGAATTCGGGGACAGTGTACCGTAGGTTCTGTCCGCGCTGCGCATTGGTGGTTTGCAGCTCCCTATCTCTGACCATCTGGTGTAAAATTGGGGCAATCTCCGTCTGGATCGTTTCAATCTCGGCTTCACCTTTAGGCTTGTCCCGTAAGTGTACATCACGTTGAGGAACCGAGCGATCTGAAGTCGGGTCGAGCCTCTCGGGTTACGGTAGTATCCGATGGCTCTGACGATCCTTTCGGGTATGGATTCTTCCTGACGGAGCTTATTCGGTGGTTTGGGGAAGATCAGCTCTCCCATGGTGTCCCATGACCGGTGGAGTATGAGAGCCAAGGCTTCGTCCTGTATCCAGGCGATGATCTTCGGCATGAACTGTTTGGTTAGGAAGTGTCCCTTCTTCACCTGGTACATCTCCGTCAACTTGGTTACCAGTTCCTGGTAGACGTCCCTTCTCTGCATGTCAGCAGTGGTGATCATGCGCCGGACGTCTTCCTTAAAAGGGGCTTTAGGGAAGGAAGGCTCGGGCTCCGAAAGCTGTCTGTCCGGCAGCCTATCTCGGATATTGTCCGGGGCTGGTAGGTCGGACTGATCGGTGTCCGCGTCGTAGTCCCAGAGTTCTTCGTCGGAACCCTCGGCTAGATGTTCTGTGGACGCCGCATCCATCCGGTCAGACTCGTCTAGAGCCTTCGGTGGGGTTTCCGGTGAAGGTGTTCTCATCTCCACCTCCTGGGGTTCTGATTCTTCCTTCGGTCCCGCCCTCTTGGCTTCCTTTCGACCCTCTCTACGGTTAGAGTTGTTGATCATTCTCTGAAGTAGCGGAGTGCTTACGTCCAAGGGCTTTGCTTTGGCCTTGAGTGCCTCTATTGGAGGCTTCCCATCGGCCCATCGGCGAATCTCGTCGACCCAAGCGTCAACACTCTGACCAGGCTTAAATTTCGGCTTAGGCCCCAGTTCTTGTCGGGTTCCTGCCGGCCTGATTCGGTGTCGGATTCGCTGTCCGAGGATGACATCTGGGGTTTGACCCTTCTTCGAGCCCTGTCCCGGCGTCCTTCCGCATCGGAGACATCAGTGTCGTTTCCTCCACGAGCCTTCTTGGGTAAACGGCTCGGTGATTCCTTCTTCGGGGCTGACTTCTTTGCCTCCCGCTTCTTCGGTACCGTGGCCGAGTGGATTATCACTCCGCTGAGTCCTGGTGCAGGCTCGTCGCAGATCTGAACAGAGGGTTCTCGGGTCGGCTGAATCATCCGTTTTGACGATACCACGGACACCTTATGGGTTCTCGTGGGTTTAAGGGTTTCTTGTCCGGTGACCGGTGAAGGTGCGATGGCGTGAGGCGCCGGAATTTGTCCGCGGCTCGCTTCCTTCGATAGTCAACGCCCATCTGCTGTACGATTTCCTTCATTCTTTCGGTCAGGTTGTGGTATTCCCGGATGACTTCATTGGAGTCGTTATCCGGCAGGTTGCCTCGGCGATCCTTGAGAGCGTTAAAGTAGGTACGCTCGGCGCTGGCGGCTCGGTTAATACAATCATCACGTTCGGTGATTGTAAGGTCCTTGATAGGGTCCATAGCCGGGTCGTTATGGTACTGTCGGTACCCTTCGTTACGAACCAGGGGCCCTAATTGGGGCTGCACAACTGGTTGTACCTGGCTTTCGACCGTGACTTCAGCGGCTGTGTCCGGTATCGAGGCCATGCTGCCGGGCTCCTTTGCCGTGGGCTCCGGTTTCGCCGGGGACAAAGTGTCCATTCGTTCCGGTGAAGCCTCCCGAGGGTTCCGTCTTGGGGAAAACCTCGGTGGCGGGGGTTGAATAGGGTTCATGCTCGGCATCCGGTTAGGCTGAGACAGGGCTCTAGTTGGAGACACCTGTTTAACCGGGGATCTACTCCGTCTACCAGTCGGTGTTGCCGACATGGCTTCCGATGACAACCGGGATGTTGTCCGAGCATCCGCTAACAGGGCTAACTGCCACTGTTTTTCTTCATCCATGTCGCTGTCCGGGTCTGTGTGGACGTGCTCAGGGTCTTCATCACCCGAGTGGTCCGACATGGTCTCCTTGATGAAGTCCGATTTAGGTTGGCCGGGCTCCAAGGGTGGCTCGCTTATGTATACGGCCGGATTGATCCTTGGATTCCGAAGCAGCTGTGCATACTCCAGCACTACCCTCGGCAACTTCTGCTGGCGAAGTACCTGCATGCCGCTCCTGAGTGCCAGGAGTCTGCGTAAGAGGGTGTCTCGGTCGGCTGCCCGGTCGGCTATCTTCTGGGTGATGCGGATCTGGTCCCTCGAAGACATTGGCCCGAAAAGTTGTCCACCAGTGAGCTCGCCTTCTTGAAGGACTCGGTAGAATTCAGCCTGTTTGATCTGCTCTACCAGTTAGTTATGGTAGGCCAAGGCTTCCCGTTCTGTGGGTTCCAGCTCTGGTTTAACCCTTCTGGGCTGATGGACCGCCTTGTGGCCATCTCCCGGGGGTGGTGGTGCTGGGACCTGCATCATGAACTCTCGAAGTTGCTCGAGGGTCCGGACAGGTGGGGGTGGTGTCCCGAAGAGGCGCCTTCTTGGGCCGCTCTCTTCTTCCTTGTCCTTTGATCTGGGTTTCCGCGTAAACTTGGGTGAGTCAGGGCCTCCGGGTTGGTGAGTAGCCCTTCCTTCCGGGGTTCTCTCCGGGTCATCTGGCTGGGTTGATGGTCGCCGAATGACTAACACCTGTTCCGTTCGTTTTGGCCGGGCCGAACCGCCTATTGGGGGTATCGGCAATGTTGTGGGCCGAAGTGTCTTGCTGGTACTCGGTCTCTCCGGGGTTAAGTCCCGTGTCCGTGCGTAAGCCTCACGTTCGATGGTCGAAGGCTCGAGGTTCTCTTCTTCACCCTCCAGGGGTGGGACGTCCATGGGTTCATCGGGTTGGGTGACGGGTCCGGTAGGCTCCGACGTTTTAGCCGGGGCTGCGGACGTCGCAGCCTGTTGGGCGGTTCGTTCCGCAGCTCGACGCCTTTTATTCCGGTAGTGTTCTTCGGTGACCCGTTTGATGTCCTGAAGAGCCTGTGTCAAGGCATCCTCCGTCTCTGGGGTTCTGATGGTGGTCGGGCTGAAGAGCTTCGCGATGGTTCTCCGGGCCTCGTCCAAGGTATTGACATCGACGTCAAGTCTTGCGGCTCGAGGATCCCACGCATTTATAGAGTGCAAAAGTTCATGCATCTCATGGCTGGCATCCTCGGCCCTTTGAAGTGCCCGTCGGATGGTGTCCTCCATTCCGGGTATCATTAGCGGCCAGTCTGCCATCGTTGGGGAGGCTGTGGCCGGTGGCTTAAGGGTTGGAATCCGGGTTAATGGGGCAGATGTACCCTGCATTGGGGGTTCGATCTGCCTAATCCGGGGCTGCTGAGCCTTAGGGGCGCGTTCTGCTTCCCGCTGCTCCTTCCTCTGCCGTTCTTCTTCGTAGTCCCGAATGAAGGTTGACAACCAAATCACGGACGACTGAAGTTGTGCCGTGCTTAGCTGATCCTTCGGGGCGTCTGGGTGTAGGAATATCCGGACGGACCTGGTGTAACTTTCCACCGTGATGTCACCGTCCAGCCGAAAAAATTCTTCGCTGTGCCGGTCACAAAAGCCTCGGCGAGTCCGCATCTCAGTCAGGATGTTGTTCGCCCGGGTCATTGCCTCAACGATGTAGGGTTGAGTGCCGGGTGGAAGGACTCCCAAGTCTGCTATGGCTTCCATCCTTCGAACCCTCGACCGAGGTGATTCTCGTTCAGTCGGTGCAACCTGTTGGGTCGCTATCGGCTGGGTCGACGGGTTTTCCGGAGGTTGGGTCGGCAACTTGATGAAGGGTTCGGTCGGCTGATTAGCCGGGGCTTGGCTCGGCTGGTTAGCCGAGGCTTGGCTCGGCTGGTTAGCCGAGGCTTGGCTCGGCTGGTTAGCCGAGGCTTGGCTCGGCTGGTTAGCCGAGGCTTGAGGTGGAACCGTATTGCGGCTCTCTTCCTCGTGCCTCTTCTGAGCCATCGCTACTTCCAAGTCAGACTTCAGGTACCCGATGTCCCTGAGTGCTGCCTTATACTGTTCGTGAATCTTCTCCCGCAGCCTCTTTGGGCCGGGGTCAGGTCTAAAGGGTTGGCTAGTTGACCCTGCAAGTCCCGGGCATAGCCTTCGTTCACGGCTAATTCCTCCTGGAGAGCCTGGATTTCTCTCCGGGGAACTTAGCCTAGCTTGTTCTGGTTGGGTTGGTCGAGATGGTCCGGGCAAGTCGACCTGTTCCGGTGCGGCAGGCTGAGGCTGGGCCTCCTTGTGGCTCCGAGCCTCAATCTTCCGCCGCATTTTGTCCGCATGTCCCTGGACGATATCACGTTGTTCCGTGATAATCCTCCGGGTGACTTCTTCGTCCGGTTGAAGTGTACTTATTCGCCGGGTGAGGAGGTCCGCCGTCTGTTGGGTTTCGGCTAACTCCCGGTTAAGTTCTTCCGTGGTTATGGCCGAGCCGAAATCTATCGGTGGCGGGTCATCGAGCATCTCGATGTCTGGGGAAGAGATCGGCGATGAGGGTTCTTCCATCGGTTCCGCCGGTGGTGGGGTGGCGATAAGTTGTATCGACGCCTCGGGAGATGGGCTTAGCTCTGACTGGGCTCTGGGGTGCTGGTCGATCAGCTTCCGGATGTTTCGGAAGGCTGCCCGAAATTGCTGAAGTTGGCCAGCGGTCGGGTTATTTACGTCGTCGGACCTCTGTAAGATGTACAGGTCGTGAACCAGGCTGTTAATGGCCAATTCTTGGTCCAGGTACCGTGGTTCGTCCTGGGGCGTTTCTCGTTGTTGTTGGCACAGGTACGCTGACAACCGGTCCGCCTATGCCAACGTATTGTAAAGTTGGAGATGGGAAGGGTCATTTCTTCGGTCTTCCGCCATGTCAGCCGGTGCCGAAGGTTCCGGTCGGTTTCGACTGCTTCCTTGGCCAAATGTCCCGGACACCTCGCCCCTATTTGGGGGCTCCGGTCCGGGGGCCGATACTGTCGGTTGCAGCAAAGGGTTGACTGGTCCGGCTGAAGCCCCCGTTCTTGCGGTTGCTACAGCCGATCTTGGATCCGCTCCTAACGGGAAGGACGTTCGGGCCTCCTCCAGTTGAAGCTTCAAGGTTCGACAGTGACCATAAAGTAGCTGGCGTTGCCTTTCTGTCTTGGGGTCCTGTGACAACTTCCGGAGTACTTCGGCTCCGAGGGTCAGGGTACCAATCCATGTCTCTCTGTCCCGATTTCGCTCGGGTAAGTTCCTCGAGCTCCCCTCGAACCCTCGGTTCCGCATTTGTTGTGCTAGGGTTTCCGTCTCCGCAAGTAACGCTTGTACTTCGGTCATCGAGGGGTTGGTTGATCCGGCCAAAGCCCCCGTGATTGCGGTTGCTGAGGCCGGCCCTCTTTCTGAGGCTGGAGTTTCCTCAGGCTAACGTCGTTTCCCCGCATTTTGTCGCCGCCTTTGTTTTGATGGTGCAGTTATCGGCGTTGCGCAGGTTGTATGGTTTCCGTTTGTCGTCAATCACGACCATGTCCAAGATGTACGTCGGTACGTTGAACGGCACAGGATGTTTAATCTTGTACAGCCAAATAGCTTCCTGCTGCTGCCAACGGGTGAAAAGGGGAACGATTCCGAAGCGGTCCATCAACAATTTCACTGGCGTCGTCGGATAGTTCGCAATTGCCCGAATCGCATTGCGCTGTGCAACGTTTAACTTCTCTCGCAGGGACACAGACGCTCTGCTCCACACAGTGGAACAATAGTCCAGATGAGACTGGACAAACGCGTAGAAAAGTCCCACACGCTGAGAATCGCACAGGCCGTCTTTCGCACGATTTATGAGAGCAATTCCATGACTCACACTTTTTTGGACTTTATTAAAATGTTCTGTCCATTTTAAGTGCTGGTCAATTATCACCCCCAAGTGCTTAACGGATGTTTCTGGTTCTAGTCGATGACCATTCAACACAACTGTAGGTTCGTTTTTTTCACGATTACGAGCAGAGGACACAAACAATAATTTAGATTTTTTTTCATTGATTACAAGGTGGTTGGCCTTAAACCACTCTGTGATAGTCGGTAGTGCACTTTCTAGCATAGCCGCTGCAGCCGTCTTGGTGTCCGCCGTCACATACCCGATGGTATCGTCGGCAAAGAATACATCACCTTCCCGTCGGCACCTTCCCACATCAAAAATACAGCAACTCACGCACGTGCGGCTGCGGTGGAAGCAGAACAGAAGAAGTCTCGGTTGTATTCGTACTTAAACGGCAGATACATTTTTTCTCCAATTGCTTTCGAAACAATGGGCCCATGGGGACCGTCATCTATTGCCATCATTAAAGAATTGGGCAAACGACTGGAGCAACACACAGGTGAAAGGCATTCCCATGAATTTCTGCGTCAGACTGTCACTAGTGATACAACGGGGAAACGCTGCATCAGTTTTGTGAACGATGGAAGGAGCAGAAAAGTTAAATGAAATTTTCATGTTGTAAAGTTGTGTTGTTTTAAGCTGTTGCATAACGGTTGTACCACAGGTAATAAAGAGAGAGAAGCTTAAGAAGAGTATAACCGTATTACAAATCACTGACAATCACGCAGGACTCCAGCTGTCAAGGCCATGATGCTGGAGGGACTGCAGCGTTCTTCGAGCCACAAGTAGGTTGTATCGGACAGCGTCTGGAAAGTGGATGCATCCACGTGGTGGTAGTATGTTTCGAAAAGCTGATCAATCATTCGCTCAAACTGCAACATATTGTAGCGATAGTATTTGTACAACCGATAAGACCACCCCGTTATGATTCGTCTTCCGTCGCGTTATGAATTTCTGTGCACTTTACCGGTTAGTTTCCCTTCTCGTGAATTTCTAAAATTTCAGTCTTGCACTCAGCTTGCTACAGCTTGCATCAACTGCATAAACCTTGTCCTAAACTCTTGCCCTAAACCTTGCTCCGTTTCTTGAACGCCGTTGTCATTAAACATGCCTTGAGTACGTTGTTGCGTTTGACCGCTTGAGATGAACCTGTATCATCCCAATCGGAGCCACCTGTGTAATTGAGCTACAGCAGTAAGAACGTCCTCGGCCAGCATCGTTGCCGGCCGTGCCACCTTTCATCATAACAGCCGACAGATCGTGGTAAGGTGGACTAACCAACTGACGTGTACTGGCGTCCCTTAGTACACATCTTTACTACTTCTACCCCAAGGCTTAGGCTTAGTCCTTACTACAACGCCTACTTGAGTCATGACCCCGAGTTCGAGTCGATGCTTCTGAGAAATGTCCAGCAGAGAACTTTGACCGCGACTTGCCATTTCGACGTGACCGCGTGTCAATGACGTAGCTTTACCTATTGTTCTAGTGTACGAGCTGACCCTTTTCTTTGATTAGTTAATGCTGTGTTGATGCGACCTTTGATTAGTCCACGTGTCAGTGATCGTAGAGTATTGGCTAGTTTCTAAATCCCTATTGTTCTCTGAACCGTACCTGCGCGTACGAAGAGTCGCACCTGCGCGTGCCCAGACTATATAAGGCGCTCGTCGCCCACTCAAATGTTAAGAGTTCTTTCAACAAGAAGTAGTGCTTGTTCACGACCTGATTAACTTCAGACTTCTTGCCCTGGGATCTCTTTCCAAGTGAGGACTTTTGCTAACTGACCTCTTAGTGACCTTTCACTTATGTCAGGGGTTTTCCCTCTACTTCGTCGACGTGCATTATCATTCTCGGATAGTCTCGTGGCGTAACAAGTTACCCACTAGCTCCCACTTGCATCCCGTGACCTTTGGTCTCTTCTTCTTCTTCGATCTTCATGCCCAGTTATCACCTGGTTGATGGATCTTGCTCTTACCGCTTCTGCTAACATCTAGCGTGAGGTCAGGTAAGTATTCTCTTCTTCTTGCATATTTCTTCGTGTTTGCAGCAGGGATTCCTGAGTTCCAGCAGTTCCTGACTTGTTCCTGATCTTCGACTTCTACTTCTACCATCCTACTACTTCTTCCCAACAGTTTGAGATAAGAGTCGCTCTATTCCCGATTGTGTCGTGGTCTGGGAAGTGGTTCAACAAGTTGGACAACGTCTTTAACTTTGAATTACACGACACAACCCACTAGAACAGCAGCCAGATAGGCTGTTGTTACAATATACTCAAAACTCCATCGGAACAGTTGAACATATCACCAAGTGTTTACCGACCAAAAGAAATCTAATGTCATCCGCATTTGGCTGAGCAGTTGTGCTAGCGTAAATATCCAGCTTCTCTGCCGCTGTTTCTTGATTTCTAAAACTGTAAGCCGGAAGTACCGAAGCTTTAACGGGATTTGCCAGTCACGAGCGGCTAACCCTAATAAGCGTGTGGACAGAAGCGTTTTATTTTGTTACATGCATGTTGCGAATGCGACAAGGCGTTACTTCAAGTCGGATAATTTTTGTTCTCTTACGCTTTAATGATCTCCATTTCAGCCAAGGTTTGTCTCAGTCTTTGCATTTCTCCCTTCTGCTCTTGGGTGACCTCCTCCAGAGCCTTTATAATTTTCACTACTGTTAACACCAGATGCGCCACGGTTATTTCCAAAGTAACGCAGCAGCTCAATAACGCAAAGCCTGGTGAAGGCATACCTTCCTCTAAAATTTTTGTCCCTGTGAAACCTCGCAGCTCTGTGGCGTCATCACTGGGCACCGCGCATGGTCGACTGTACGATTGAATGGTAATGCCCATCTTACGCCGATAACATGGGTGATAAACGAAAGCACAGATGACGAAGGCAGCGCAACGACATCACCCTCTGCTGCAGTCTTGATGTTCGGCAGTGAAACCTGTGGTGTATCTGGCATCCAAGAAATGTCATGAATGAAGCTGTTATGGAAGCTGGAAGTTCCACCTGTAAATTAGCGTGATATATACATGTATGTACGCTATATAATCAACGGACCAAGTATTAATCACGGCCCACGGGCAATGCTGGATTTTTTGTCGCCGTTGAATATACACCATAAAGCCGTCCACAACGGTCACACCGGCGACTCTCGCAGCGGAACCTTCTGTCTCAGTACTGCGATGCTCGAGAGCGGCGGTTACCGCCTGTGAGGAAGTGTATTCCGGCAACTGCATGCACAGCCTGACAAAAGTACTCTGCGCAATCCCTCACACATTCCGGCAGTTTCCCATGCGCCTCGTCGTATCACAAGTAATGGATTCTTACTGATTGAGGAAGCGCGCATTTTGTTTACACATTCCGTCATCTAATGTTGAAAGGAGTAAACAGAGCCGAAAAGATCATATAATAAAATCACAGAGGCCGCTGTCTTGCTCGTTTCCGGACAGGTATTAATGGAGCTGGCACTAACAAGATACAGTGTAGGAAAAATTATTGTGGAGACTATTCAAAACGAAACGAGGGCTCAAATACGCACACAAAACTACGTGTTATACGGCGCAGTTAGAGTCGACATGCAGAAGTTGCCACATGCAGCCGCCTCCCGTGTGATACTATCGTTAAGGTAAACTGCATCG